TTAGCAATATTATGCAGGTGGAAGAAGGTGGTTCTAGTAACGTTTTTAATGTGGGGGATAAAAGACGTGTCCTGATCAAAAATAACACCAAGATTTTTAACATTAGACCTGGAGGACAGATTAATGCCGTCCAAGGAGGGTGAAAGACTAAAAAATTTATTCCCAAGAATAAAGTGCTGTTTCTGTGCTACGGTGAGCTCTAAACCTTGACTGAAACTCTTTCTTTGCAGATGTTCACGCAACTTACCAGCAACTATTTTCTCTAGAATTTTTTTGTTGAAAGTTAGATTAGATGTAGGTCTATAATTGACTAGGATTCCTGAGTCAAGGTTATGTTTCTTAAGTAAAGGTTTAATTATAATAATCTTAAAACTCTGTGGTATGTAACCATTTATTAGAGACAAATTAAGCAGATTCAAGATATGGTTATTAACTAAGGGAAATATGTCTTTAAATAGCCTGGTTGGGATGGGATGTAGCAGACATGTGGATGGTTTGGATGAAGCTGCAATTTTTAACAACTGAGAGAGCTCAACAGGACAAAAACAGTCCAAACATAAATCAGGTTCTAGTGACATTTTTAAAGTTGTCTCATCTGACTCAGAACCAGAGGTGATACTAGGAAAGTTGGTTTGAATTTTTTTCTTAACTGAAACAATTTTATTTATAAAGAAACTCACGTACTCATCACTGCTTATAGTTGTAGGGATACATGAATCAACAGAGATAGGATTTTTCATTAGACTAGCTATGGTACTGAAATGGAACTTGGGGTTATTTTTATTCTCATCAATTAAAGATAAATAATATAAAGTTCTAGCTTTACAGAGCGCTTTTTTGTACGTTAGCATGCTATCTCTCCAAGGTAAGTAAAATTCTTCAACGTTAGAGGAGCGCCATTTACTTTCCAGCTTTCTATATGCATATTTTAAAGTACGTAACTCAGAATTGAACCAAGGAGTTAATCTCCTCTGATTGATTACTTTCTTTTTCAGTGGCTCATCAAGTGAAGTTTGCAAAGAAGTTGTAAAATTATCAACTAGATGATCTAAGTCACTGCTCTCTGTTGTATTACTCTGTCAGACAGAGAAAAACGATGGAAGAGAATCTTTAAATTTGGTTACAACGATTTCTGATAAGCACCTGCTAAGATGAAATTTACTCTCAGTGACTATGTAGTCATTTAATGTAAACTCAAAGGTAATTAAAAAAAATGGTCAGACAGAACAGGATTTTGAGGATGTATTACTTAGTCATTAGTCTTGATGTCATAAGTCAGAACCAGGTCAAGAGTGTGATGATAAGAATGAGTAGATATTCAGAGGTTTTGGGTAAATCACTTGACTCTATTACATTTTTAAAGGCTATGCTTGAGCTATCACTTTCATCATCTACATGAATATTGAAATCACCCATTATTATGACTTTATCAGTATTTAGTATTAAGTCCGTTAAGAATTATGAGAATTCAGACATAAACTGAGCATTGGAGCCTGGTGGATGATATATAACAACTAGTGAGAGTGGAAACTAGTGAAATTAGTTTCCCCTACCATTATCCAAGGAGGGCGCCCTGCCCTGTCAACAAAACCGAGCACCCTGTCTACCAAAATTCACCCCTCCTTCGTCAACAACCACCAGCATTAGTAACATAGCGCTCCGCTACCACCCATCTGACAAGCGCCTTGCCAAGGCCAGTAATCTAGGGAAACACTGTTTAATGTTATCTTTTTAAAAATGTATTCATGTTTCTTTTGAAAATCTGATGTCATAGGCATTTTAAGAGTCCACCTTTAAAACTAATTTAGGTAGATTTGGACCAGTGTTTTGTTTGTTAATCCTTGGTGTGTGTTTTAGACTTGATCATTCAAGACTAATGCCTTAGATGTTTTCAGTCACAAGTAAAGCTCCCCTGCAGGTGTCAAAATTCAGCTGTAGTGTTTTAGTTTACAGAAACTAAATTGAGATGATTCAAGATGCCCAACACAACCTTTTTGAAGGAAATTTAGCTGCACCAATTTTTTTGGACATATTCAAAATTCATACAAGACTGCGAGCCTATGCGACTCCCATGAGAAAATTAAGAGCCAACAGTTACAGCCCAGTGAGATACTATCCTTATGCATTTGCTCGTGTTTGTGCAAAGTACCAAGACCCACTCACAAATCTACACATACATGACGGAACAAGAAAATTCTGAATCTTTCACACAGAGTGTACAAGTTACAAAAAAAAATAAAAAAATCTGTAAGCTGTACACATTTTCATTTTTATGAATATGTATTTGGTGTTTTTTTTTTTTCAGCAAACTTTTACCCAAGAAATTCTTAAATAGCTTTGGTGTGTATGTTTGCTTTTTTAATTAGCACTTTGTCACTAAAAACTCATATTCAGCAACCTAAATCAAAGAACTTCATTAGGTCAACATGGATGTGGAGATCTTGGCCTGGTGAGGTTACACGTGGTCTGTGGTTGTGAGGTCGGTTGGATGTACTTCTAAATTCGAAACACCTTTAGAGATGGCTTATGGAAGAGAAATGAACATTCAGTTTATGAGCAACAGCTCTGGTAGACATTCCTGCAGTGAACATGCTGACTGCACACTCCCTCAAAACTTTCAACACTGTTTTACACTGGGCATTGTGCTATTTGATAAAACTGCATGTTTTAGAGTGGCCTTTTATTGTGGTCAGTCTAAGGCGCATCTGTGCAATAATCATATTGTCTAATCATCATCTTGATTCATTCAACCTTTATTTATACAGGTTAATCCCATTGTGCCTCAAAGACATTTACGAGAGGCCTGATTTTAGCAAAATGTGATGACAACAGTGGACAACAAAGGCAACAATAGATATTCATAAAAGGATGCATACAAACTGAGAATAACAAGTGAAAATAAAATGGTATTAATAAAAAAATGTAACCAATAAACAGCTAGGTTGTAAGACGATGTAGAAAACTAAAAACAACAACATGTCTGCATTGGTTTTTCCCAGGAACTTAGCAGACATTTGAAGCCACTTAGAGAGGTCATGGTCGAGAGCTTCAGATTTTTTTGCAAGATATTCCAGGAATGGAGCAGAGTAGAAGACCCTTTTGCCTAGTTCAGTCTGCAGTGAGGGAACACTGCAGGTAATAATGTCCTGAGAGTGCACGCTGTAGCTGCACTCACACAGAGACATGTAGGAGGAGATGTATGAAGGCAACAGACCAAGAAGTGATTTAAAGATAAAAATGAACCAGTGAGAGAGTCTGCGTGAAGTTAATTATGACCAGTTAACCAGTGAATACAGGGTGCAGTGGTGGGTACAGCATTTACAGCTAGTTATGAATCTTAGTGCACCATGATAGACAGCGTATAACATCTGCATGGCGCCTGCCTCACCCTACAAGGCATTTGGTAGCATTCAGAGTTAGGATCTATTTCTGAAAAAGAAATCCAGTTTAACTTTGGGTTTCCTTACCAAGTTTTCCACGTGGAGCTTAAAAGAGCAATGCGAGTCGACCAAGATACCCAAATATTTGTAGGAATCGACATACTCAATAGGAACACCATTCGAGGATAAAATAGAAGGAAGAACTGCTGGGACCAACTTCTTGTTTGAAAACAGCTTCACTTTGCTTTTGTCAGCGTATAGGACAAGTTTGGAGCAGAGACGGAACAAATCTGACTGGATGATGTCAAAAGTGGATTGCAAAAGCTGGAAAACCTTAGCAACTGTTTTAGCTCGACAATAAACAACTGTGTCATCAGCATAGAAATGTATGGATACATCAGGGATGCTCTGACTTGCATTACCTATGTAGATTGTAAAGAGGGTGGGTCCTAAGACTGAGCTTTGTGGTACACCGTTTTTGGCTGTTGAGGTGGATGGATCGTCTCAGCAAAGGAGAAATGCTCACTAACACAGATTTACACACATTTTTGAACAATATTTGAGAGAAAAAGGCTTATTGTGTACGGAAAAACAATCTTAGATCTTTGAGTTCAGCTCATGACAAATGGGAGCAGTACAGTATTACGTTTATATTTTTGTTCATTGTAGTTATAATTTGAACTGATTTCAGAGTTTGGTGTGTAATGGTAACATGCTGTTCTAACTGTGTTTGTTACAGGCACAGATGCCACGCATGCAGACCACATCGAGACCATCAAGAGTCGTTTGTATGTGAGTTTGACGGCAGACCAGAGGTTTGTTCCTGGAGAGCTTGGTATGGGACTAGTGGAAGGTAGGTCCACAAAAACCAAATTTATGTCTAAAGCACATTTAAACAGCAGCTTTTGGCAGTACATGAAATTACAAAAACTAAAGCAGCATAAAATGACAACGAAAAGCATTAAAATAAGTTAAATACAAATAAATAAAAAAACTATACATTACTAAAACAATGGAAACAATTCTCTTTAAAAACTTAACATTGGACCTAAAAATTTGGAGGGATCAAACATTGGTCGGAACATATTCAGAACTTGAAATGCTTTACAGGTCAACAATAAAACCTTAAAATCAATACTAAAAAACAGATGCATTCCTTGAAGTCGTTTTCTGCTTACATGACAAATTTTTTAACAAAAATCTTGCACAATCTTTAGCTCTTGAAGTACCGTATATGCGAGGATGACTCAGCTACAGCCACACCAAATTTTATCTCAGTATCTGAAAATAACGGAGATACAGCCACTTTTGTGTTTGCTAGCGTTAATCAGCTGTGGACGTCATCTTGAACTGGGTTAACTCCTAGAGTTGATGAGTTGTTTGTAGATATACATCTGATGGTTACGTTTTGAAACTTTTAATTGGAATCTGTCTTGCTCTTAAAATATTTTGCTAACAGAGACAAACCACTAAATGGAAAATGTGTTCATGCCTTTGAGTTTGTGTCAGCGAGGAGCTGCAGCTGTGCTAAAGAAGGCTGTTAACACAAATATACAAATAATTACATTTATTTATTTGTGTCTAATAAATTCATTGCTCGACCCTTTCAAAGTCAATAAAAGATTTAAAAATGTTTAAGATAAAATTCTCAGTTTACATACAATTTTTAACTTCTGAACTATTCTGTTTCTCAAAGTTAAAATGAGTATCACATCTAGTTTTTTGACATATGATATCACAAAAAACTCAGGGCGACTCGTAAGCTTCACAGTTATCACCAGACCCAAAGAGCATTGCTTGAGTTTTATCTTCATTAGGAATCCAGGCTTTTACACACAAACACATATATATATATATATAAAGCTTCACTTTTTTTTTTTTTACCCTTTATTTATACAGTCTCATTGAGCCATGAGAACTCATTTTCAAGAGAGACCTGTTTGGGGAGCAGATGGGGGTTAAGGGCCTTGCTCATGGGCCCAGGGTGGGGCGAATGAGGGTGGGGGCAGGTGTGGGTGCTTCGCCTACCCCACCTACATTTTTGATGTTGTTGGTACCGGGGCTTGAACCGGCGATCTTCCGATCACAGGCCCACCTTCTCTAACCTCTGCGCCACCACTCCCCCCACTTTAACCACTGAATAGGTGAAAATGACTTGTTCTTCAAAAATAAGTTTGTTAGTTCAATCATCCAGGTAGAGTTAAAAAAAAGGTTAAATCACGTCATCTGGACCAGTTTCTTTAAGTTAGAAACATTTTGATTCCCATCCAGAGGACTTCGTCAGTCTGCGGCCTGCCAAATAGATCTGTCCTTCATGTAGCTTCATGGGACAGAGGCCGTAGACTGAGGAAGTCCTCTGGATGGGGGACGAAATGTTTCTCACTTAAAGAAACTGGTCCAGATGACATGATTTAACCTTTTTGTTGGCTTGTTCTTCAGTTATAGGTAGAACAGTGTCATCTGCAAAGTTATAAATAAATCATATTTGCTATATTTTATTCAAGCTAGTATCTCACTGGGCAACTGTTGCTGACAAAGTACAAACGTTTCCAAAATGTCTAAAAACATTCACAGTGGTTCTAAATTTCCTTGTGTGGATTGGAAAGCTCGCTGTCTTGTTGCTTAAATTTTAAACATGTTCTGGGAAAAGAAGGTTTATGTTCCAGAGATTAGTTTCTGTAATTCTAGAGTGCTAGAGCTGTATGCTTTTTGTTATTTAGTTACAAACTCCTGTCAAGTTTTGGCAAAAATTTTGCCAGGATTTTGTGTATTTTTTCGTAGTTTTGTGTCTCCATACAGTATACAACAGTAGCAGCCTGGCAAGAAACTGCCTTTAAGATGGAGCAAGTTGAGGGCAAATGATATTGGTCCGAGATCAGAACCCTGGGGGACTCCACAAGAGAGGGAGGTGCAGAAGAACAGATTAGCATAAAGGCTTTATTACGTAGAGAGTGTGACTCTGATGCAGGGGTCTGCAATCTGCGGCTCTGGAGCCACATGTGGCTCTTGGGTCGCTCTACAATGGCTCTTTCAAGCTTTGACCAAAACTAACTTAAAACTGAATTTTATAGGATATTATATCCACAACAAAAAATGACTAGTTTTAGCAGTTTTCCTGTCATTTCCTTATAAATATGCAGATACTAGTAGTACTAATACACATAGTAAATTATACTTGCTTTAACTTTATGCTTTATTTCTTCAAAGTAGGATACTCAATTTCTCCACGGTTAAAAAAATGCATAAGCTTGTCCAATTATATATATATATTTTTTTTTTATTGGCAAAATGACCATCTTCAACCTGAAAAGGAAGACACGGGTAAAGAGGAAGGAAGGAGGGAAGGATGAAAGATGGATGGAATCCAGTCTTTTCTTTTGTCTTAAAATGTAAAAAATGTCAATAAATGTTAACAATCATCAGATGTTTTTAGTTTTATAACTTCACACCTGGGGCCAGAAAAGCCCCCTCTAACAAACTTAAAGTGGCCCATGGGCCATCAGTTGATAATGACAATTGTAGCAGGTTTTGCGTCTCTGGACACGTTTAATTTGGTGAACAAAGGGGCAGAAATGGCTCTTTTGATTGTAAAGGTTGCAGACCTCTGCTCTGATGTGTCTGTTTAGGTTACAACTCCATGGGCTACGAGATGTCAAAACCAAACCTTCGTGCTGAGCTGGAGGCCGACCTCAAACTGGTGTCAGAGGGCAAGAAGGACAAACAGAGTGTACTGCAGCTTCACATCCAGAAATACAAGACTGTCTTCATCGAGTCTGTCAAGAAGGCCAAAAAGTTAGTTGCGCTTTACATCATTGCTTATATTTGACATATTTTACAATGATGGAGACATTTGAAGACTGCGTCCTGCAGGTAACAGGCCATTCTCTGTTGTCTTCTCAGGTTAGACGAAGCCCTGGCTCCATATCTGGGTGCAGCTCAAGAGATCAGTGAAGAGGAACAGCAGGACATGGAGATCCCTCTGCCGGTGAGGAAGTGTCCGAACTGCGGTCGGGACATGGTGTTGAAAAAAAAGAGGGAGGGAAACAGGTGAGATTATATCCATCTTTTAGGTGTCTTTGAAAGCAAAAGCACTTCCATGCACATCATGCTGTCGTTTTACTGTTTGGAGCTCAGCTAATGATGTTTAATTCACTCGTTCTCTTTTATGGCATGAAAACTCATTAACAGAGACCAGGTTTATCAGTGAACGTTTAATGGCTTTATCTGTTTATTCCCGAGGTTAGAAGATGCCTCGGAGTTAAAGACAAGAAGGCAGTCAAATTGAAAAAATTGAAGCATGTGAAAGTCTGTTTTATATGCGCTTAAATCAGATTAAACCTGACTTCTCATTAAATGAACTCTTTATACTCATCCTACCTGCTCTGTGTCTCCCTCTGCAGTAAGTTTCTGACATGCATGGGATACCCAGCCTGTAAGACGGCCGTTTGGTTTCCTGACACGGTGCTTGAGGTCAACAGGGATGAAAGTGTTTGTCCCACATGTCAGCCAAGCCCTGTTCACATGTGAGGATTGGTTTTAAATACTTTTCTTTCTTCTTCTTTTTTTTTAATGGATCGTGCATTTCAATTGTCTCTTATTATTTATCAATATTCAACAGATTCTCTGTTTCAAAGAATTTAAAAATAGATTTTGACAGATGTACAGTAATAATTCTTTCCCTAGCTGTTTTCACTTTATGTCTTGAGAAATTGTTAGATTGATGACACAATTAAAACACAATCATGTTTCTTCACACAAACAAATTTCCAGGCATTGTTTTGTTCCTATAGTTTTATTTTAGCAATACAAAGTGCCCATCATTTTTATTTTACTTTCATATTAATTTTTAAAGCCTTACGTATTAATAATAAACCTACTAAATGAATAAATTCAACAATTTCCTGCGGATCAATAAAGTTTTATCTTAATATTTCAAACACAGTTACTTTTATTGTATATAAAGCTTTCTAAAGCTTTTGCTTTTCTTCCAGCTTTTTATAAATTAAGGTTTTGGATTAAAAGTTTGTAAACAAAACTGCAATAGTCAACAAAAACACAGATTATTTATTTCTTTTAATTTTGTTGTTTTAATGTTGTTATAAAACTTTGCAACAAATGGTATTTGACATTTAAGAGCACAAGCTGACAATTTATTATAACTATACAGTTCATTATTCATGTTTTAGCCTCTGATTGATCTGTTATCTATCTTTAATTTGCAGCACATGGTTTTTTTTTAGATTAGTTCAAATGATCTGGATCCACCATAGATTCATCACAATAAATCTTACGCACCATGTTCTCAACACGATTCAGGCGAGCAGCAGCTCCACTGTGAATAACGACCTTCCTTTTGTTTGTCACGTCAGCGCGGTGGACCTTCAGCGCATCGTGTTTCCCTTCCATCTAAACAAACACCCGGGGCACTGAGAAGCTCGCAATGGCTGCACTGGTGCAAGAAAATTTGTCCAAGTTCTTGTTTACACAAGTAGGCGTGAACCCCTTGAGCTCTGGCCTCAGCTCAGTCCAAATATAGGGCACGCTCGCTTAGCAGCGAGCCAAAGTGCTCCACACCAGCTTCGGTTACCACGACAACCAATCTGGTACAGCGCTCAAAGTTATGCCCCAGCATTTATTCTTAAACAATATATTTTTTACATTTTTTTATTAGACTTCAACTCGGCTTGTTGGAGGACTTCAGCATTAGACGTGAACCAGAGTAAACAGTTGATTTCTTCGCCTGCCTCACTGGTTACCATAGCAACGTAGTGCATTGAGCTTATACATTGGATTATTTATTTATTTAAATTGTTTACCTTTATTTATAGAGGTAGTCTTATTGAGATATGAGGACTCATTTTTAAGAGACCTGTTTCAAACAAACAATATGACAGTTGAGCGTTTCGGACAAATACAATAACGTATAAAAAAAAAGTAGAGCAGGAGAACATGCTAAAAACAGGAAAGTAATTTTGCTAAGATTTATTGAGTTTTTATAAAGTGTTTAAAATCTGCCAAATACATCAAAATGGACAACTAACTCCTGCTACACCTGGAACAGGGTTATATGTTATCTCATTTAACTCGTATATTTTAGGATCCATTTAAAAATACAATAGTCCCTCGTTTATCGCGAGGGATCCGTATGCTGAAGCCCTCGATAAGTGAAACACCGTGAAATAGGGATATT